GAATAGTTACCAGGTATCGCTTTATCTATAATATGTTCTCCTGACTATTAATTTTATCCTGCTGACCGAATTATTGTTATACCGGATTGATTGTTTTATTTAGATTGCTTGATAAGGACCCGATTCGAGGGGTCGAAACGTAGCAATGTTTCAATTTATATTGCCATTAGAAGTCGAAACTAATAAACGTTTCTTGTTGATTATTGTTGGCGGAACAAACCATTCTATTTTTGTAAAAATTAATGTCAGACACTTTCTAGGTATTGTATATATGTGTATGTGGGAGTGTGGGTGTTAAGAATCTACATATGTTATACATGTATAAATATTTAACACACTTCTAAAGTGTAAAGAAACCTTTTCTGAATCATCAGTCATACATACCAAAGTAATGTTTTAAAGTCAATAGCGCCAAAATTGTTTATTTTTGAAGGTTGTGCTTGTTTAAACCTTTATTCAGAATGCCCTAAACTACACATTAAAGTTTCAACCAATTCGACCGAGAGCCATTTTCCACTGATTTAGTGCGGGGTTCTTTTTGAAAAATCAAAGAAATGAATATAATTGCAAAGAATATGATTATTTATTTATGCAGAAGTGTCAAATATAAACTTATATGATTTCTAAAAAATAGATTTTTTGTTAATTGAAAAAATTGCTCGGCAATATTGCATAAATAAAACCTAATAGTTAATAACTGCAATAATAAATATTAATGATTGATAACTTTAATTGTTGACGGTAAGTAAAAAGACGCTTTTATTAGCAAAAGGCAAGAAAAATTGCAGAAAAAAATAAAACAAATTAAAAATAAAAGAAAGATAAGAAAAGCCCAAAAAAAAGTAAAATAGCATATTAAGAAGCAAATCAAGTTAGCAATCGCGATACATCCTGGACAAAATATCTGCCAAGTGTATTTTACTGCATGATTTGTTATTCGCTATTGGTTAAGAAGTATAATTACTCCGACTTAAAAATTTTTAATTAAAATTTTACATCAAGGTTTATTTATTTTTAACTAGAGAAATTTTATAATTGAAATTCACACGTGTATAGATCTGTATATTACAGAAATTAGTAACATCATCATCAAGAGAAATTGTGTATATCTATAGCACTATTTAACATCACTATAAATACACCATAACACATTATTTAGGGACAGAAACTCAGAATAGAAAGAAGAAAATTCTAAGAATCTACTATTATAATAGATTGTGTAATAGATTGTATTATATAACAAGAACTATCTAACAAGAAATATACTTATGTATAAATCAACCGTCCTTTAAAAATTACTAAATATCTAAATCCAAGATAGCATAAAGAAACAGAAAGAGAACGACAGAGAGGTGGAAAGAAGAGAGAGACTTTCCTATTTTCTTCATCATTACTTGTAAAGTAATCAAAATTTCCTGAATTCACTAATTAATATAAAAGGAAATCATCGTATGTTATTTTGCTTACAATTCTCTAATATCTTAAGATTATGTCATTCGCGTCTTTTAGCACCATTTTTCTTAGATCTAAAAATGCAAGGCATCTTTTATGTATTTACTGATGCCATAAAAATAATATGGATCATTAATCGTCAGGCATAGGAGTATTGCAATTTCCATGCCACAACTTAGTCTCCGAATGGCACTCTGAATAGTTAGCGAATATATCCGCGTAACCACGATTACGCCACCAGGTACAAAGTTGCCTGTTCCACCCACAATCAACCATGTGGATCAGTTCTGGTCTTTCCATGCCTAGAAGCGTATAGAAATCTTGATCGCCTAAATGACCCTGTAAGAAGATAGATGAGCTATCATTCTAATCAATCAATGTTAGCAGCAAAATATGAAGTGTATCCCATAATCACTTTTAAACCATAAAAATAATATTTCTTACTTTTCCATTAAATTTAGACTTTTTTTTACTAAAGATTTAGATTAATTTTTTTTATACTGTCAAAGAGTATACACTTATGTAATTTTTAAATTAAAAGCAATTAAAAATAAGTGGCCCTTTTCGAAAATTAAGTTGTAAAGGATTATATAACAAATAAAATATATCATACTTCAGTTACTGTTAAGTATACTTCACTTCGATAAAATTTTAATTTAAGACATAATTATGAACATATAATTATATAGAAAATTATATAGAAAATTTGAAAATTGCAATAAATGATGACTTTCTATAGTTGACTAAAAATTATCGACAATACAAATGTAACTACACATGCACACGCGCGCGCTGTTATACACTAACATATTTATAACAAGCTTTATGAGGGAAATAAAATAATGAGGAAGCAATGTGCAAGTTTCTGATTCACTAGATCGATTTTCTTCAATGTTTCTTGAAAGTATGCAAAAAAATTTGCACATTGCTTCCTTATCATTTTATTTCGCTCATAAAGTTTCATCTATAAGGAAGCCATACTATTTTCTGTTAATAATTATGTTGCTGTAATTTAAAAACAAGCTGGCTATGTGCTAACTCTAAAAAGAATGGTAGCGATTTGTAACGATGAAGAAGCAATATGCAAGTTTCTAATTTGCATACTTTTTTTATTGTGATGAGATTTACTGCGTTCATCGCATAATTCAGGTAGATCAACTGAACGTACATTTCTTTTGTTTTCTAAATGATATGTATAATATATATAGGCTACATTCGCTTTACACGCTTTCGTGCTGAAAACATCACTCCATCTTTTTTCAACATGTAATCTCTACTATTATATAAAGAGAAAAAGTTTGTTTTCCTAACGCGAGCATGAAATGGGACGCTTTTCGCGCTTGTTTTGAGTGAGCAAAACGATCCATTTCGCAATGATGACGTAAGCGTTGAAACATGGAGCCATTTCTCAACTAGTGGAGAAATGAAATTGTAAAACAAGCGCGAAAAGCGGCCTGTTTCACGCTCTTGTTAGAAAAAATAGTATGAACAACTCGTGAGAAAAGTGGTCGAGCCCAAATGAGTGTGATGGTCGCACTCGCTTCGCTAGTGCGACCAACTTCACACTCATTCAGAATTGACCACTTTTTCCACTAGTTGTACAATATACTATTGTAACATTGTTCAAGGTAATCTTAGAAACTATTGAATCAATTTCAAAAATTTTTACACTGCAATGGTGGATAGCTTATATCTTCCTGAGTAACATAGGCTATGTGCCTTGTGCTACAATCCAATTTGAAAAAAAATTTGGAAATCTAAAATTTTAAATTCTTTAAAAGAGTCGTTAACTTAATGACTTTTCCTGTTCAGATTTTCCTAATCAACCAAATCTTAAAGTATTATATATGAAATAGGGATCGAAAAAACTGAGGAATATAATAGAATTTAAATAATTGCTAACAATAAAGGGGTTACCGATTTCTGTCTAAAAAAAACTACGTGATTGCCATAATTTCCACAAATTTTGAGATATCAAGCTAATTTTTTGTTTTATGGATAGATTATCATTAAAAATAGGTTGGTATTGAATTTGGCGAGAATCGGTGGAAAAATTGTCGATTTTTGCCTAAAAAGTGTATAAGTTATACATGTTATATTTGTCATCTTATATAGAGTATCATTAAAGGAAGGTTGTGTTTTGAATTTGGCGAAGATCGGTGAAGGGGTTACCGATTTTTGCCTAAAAAATGTATAAGTTATTTGATGGATACAGTATCATTTAAGGAAGGTTGTTATTGAATTTGGCGAGGATCGGTGAAGGTTACCGATTTTTGCTTAAAAAGTGTATAAGCTATACATGTAATTTTATATAGAGTATCATTAAAGGAAGGTTGGTATTGACCACTAAAAAAAAACGCGTTAATAATAGTACCTTATGGGTGACGTGGAAAGCTATTGGGATTGGCGATCGTGACGTCACAAGGCAAAATGGCCGGAGAGAGTAGGTCACTTGTCACTCTACAATACGACGTATGTGCTTATTCCCTGAACCGAATTTTTACCAAAAGTATATGAAATAGGGGTAAAATTTTCCGGGGAGTGCCACTATGTGTATAGTTTTTTAAGTCGATTTATTTATGTGGCAGCCGGCGACCTACTCTTTTTAGTTCTGTTTTCGCCACCAGATAGCGTATCGCAGTTTAGCCATTCCCAATTGAAAATATATGTTTATGAATCATACATTGGTGGATAAGATTAGCTAGAACACAAATAAAGTTGTAAAAAAAAAGACGCCCGGATGAAGTCCCGGGTATATTATATATCTCAAGCGCGGGCGAAAAAGCTAGTTCTCAATATTTCTCGAGTTAAATATCGAAAAAAAAAAAATTCTTTTACCGATCCTCGTCAAATTCAATAATAACGTTTCTTTAATGACATTATATTCAAGTTCAGGCTATACGGTCCAGGCTATACGGACCTTTGATCATGTATAAAGCTGAATCTATTCAACTAAATCTTAAGAATTATATGTATAAGAAATGGGAGTAGAAAAAAACTGAAGAATATAACAGAATTATAAATAGCCCGCGATATCTCAAAAGGACCACGCACTAATTCGGTTTTAACATTTTTTTTTATTAAGTATCCATAATTAATGTAAAGAATCTAAGCCGATTTTTAGTACTTTTTGAATTAAAAAAAAACCTAAATTTGAGAAAGTTATAGCTTGCTAAAGTTTTTTTGATGACGGCAACTTCAAAAGGTATGACGTCATTTCTTATATAAAGTATGATGTCACAGCACATTTTCGTGTGCTATATTTTCTCCAATTTTGAAGATATTGCAAAAATTTAAAAAGTTTACAAAGAAAGTATGCCATGATCTATCAGACCGCTTAATAAAAAAAATTTATGTTAAAACCGAATTATATGAAAAAAGTGGCCGCGGTTAAAATTGACTAAAACTATGGAAAAGTGTAGTTTGTGTGATACCGATCAAAAGTTGAAATGGGCACAACCTTCAAAATATGCTATTTTTTAAGCTACGAGCCTATAAGAATATTGGTGGTATTAAACGTACACATATATTATACATAGTATACCCACTCTTACTTAGCGATACCCAAGATCAACCAGCGTGGTGAGTGTCTGATCTTCTTTTTTGTTCTTGTTTTTTGTTTTTTATTTTTTAAATATTTTTTTGTTTTTTTTTTATACTTTATAATAAGGCTGATCTACAATGTGCTCTTTGCTTCCTGTTTTTTGCTCTTAACTTGTTTGCGACTATCCCGTATTTCGCAATTGCGTCGCGTAACGCGATGTTTTTTGTTCTCTGTCGCCTAAGATAAAAATTGACGAACTTTAGAAGAGACAAGAAACATCACGTTACGCGACGGAATTGCGAAATACGAGATAGTCGCACAGAGGTTAAGAGCAAAAAACAGAAAGCAAAGAGCACATTGTAGATCAGGCTTTATATTTTTTGTTTTTTTTCTTTTTATTTCAGTGTTTTTTTATTGTCTCAAACTCCTTGATTTGCCCTATTACCAGCATCAATGATGTTATGCAATAATGCATTCCTTGGTATCTTGGATATGCGCGTCATCAACCAAATGTAAAATATCCAAGCAATGCATTATTGCATAACATCATTGATGTTGATATATATATATATATATATATATATATATATATATATATATATACCTCTTAACATCTAAGATAGCAGTACTGTTGACACATAGTCCCCGTAGACAGATAGGCCCGGTCTTTCCTAACATATTTATATGTAATATATATAATTTTTATTTCATAATAATAGGTTCTTCTGTCTATACATATCCTCGTTTATTATATTTTCTCTATGATATATCACACATCTTTCAATACGTCAATTGATATCACAATATAGAAAATTTACTTCAATTATGTAACTTTTAATAACTGTCCAATATTACCTTGAAGTGATATTTCTCCGTCATAGCATTCACGCTATCTTTATTGACAATCTCATTGTATTCAAGCGATTTCCGTAATCTTTCCAAATTAAAGAGCACCATCCCACTATTATAGCCAGGGTACCCGCCTTTATGTTGAGGTTCGCCAAACATCGTTGTCGGATGTTTATTACGATATAAGTACAGAACATGTCGGTAAACTGGCGTGAGCTCCGGAGCTAAGCCAAACAAGGCTTCCTTTCCGAACTTGTTAAATTCTTCAAACAGATCCTTCACGTCTCTACGAAATTTCGTATCCGCATCAAACATCGCGGCGAGTTTCTGATGGCTAGGTGCGATTCTGTGCAAACCCAGCGAAATAAAGAATAATGCATCCGAATAATATGTTCCTGGTTTGCTACTGAAATGTGGCAACATAACCGATACAATATCTTCCAATTGTACAGCTAGTTGGTGTACATTATAATAAAACACCTGAGGACAAATAAATATGTAGATACTTTAATTATGTCAAGTATAAGTTCAGAATAAACAAGAAGGAACAAAAATGTCTATATAAAAA